CGTGCCTAATAATGTGTCACGGACGGTTAATTTCAACGTTGCATAATGAACAGTTGATGGGTGCTTGCCACCTTTTCGTTTTTTACTCTTTCTTTGAGTTCCGGCGTCACTTTGACTTGGGGTCGTGCTCTGACTTGCGGTGTGGCTCTGACTTGGGGTCGGCCTCTGATTTGCGGCGTGGCTCTGACTTGGGGTCGGGCTCTGACTTGGGGTCGGGCTCTGACTTGCGGTGTGGCTCTGACTTGGGGTCGGGCTCTGCTTTGCGGCGTGGCTCTGACTTGGGGTCGGGCTCTGACTTACGGCGTGGCTCTGACTTGGGGCAGGGCTCTGCCTTGCGACGTGGCTCTGACTTGGGGTCGGGCTCTGACTTGGGGTCGGGCTCTGATTTGCGGCGTGGATCTGACTTGGGGTCGGGCTCTGACTTCTGGTCGGGCTTGAACTTGGGGTCGGCTATAAAGGATGAAAGTATCAAAATACAAAACGAACACAACAAAGTAACTTTCTTTGGTTACCTGGAATTATATCTGCATTAGACCTGATGAAAATAATTGTGAAAAAATTGAAATAATACTAAATAAACTGTTAAGCATTGTGAACAGAATTTTTTATAAACAATGTTATTTTCAGGAAGGTTAGGTATAGCAGGCATAGCTAGCTTTTGTATTGATAACGTTCTAATTTAAGAGACAAACACATATGTTACTATAAATACTCACACAATCATGGGCGCACACGTTAATGGTGCATTTCAAAAAGACCGTGTCGGAACCGACCAACCTGAATCCAGTTAGAGCGGCTATCTGGTTGACCATTTTTCCGTTTGTGGTCGTCCTTGATTGTATATTGTCACTTCTAAATGTTCCAAGGACTTTAGTTGTGCCACTATTGGAATATGAAAACAAAGTCTATTCAAATTGAAAGCAACATCAACGTGATATTGTAGTGCACTTATATAACCACCAATAATGTAATATTAACATTATATCTAATACTGATCTGGATATTTTTTTCCATGTAACACAGTTGATATTCATTCTTAAATCCAAAAGAATACCTGTACCCGTAGATTGTTTCTGGGATTTAAAACGAAATAAATCAATGTCTTTGACACATCATTCATATTAGATAGGGCATATCTTAGTGCTTTTTTCAAAACTCTAGCGATAAAAACAAAATACGAATAACTATCATGGTATAATGTTAAGTTAAAACCCCCGTTCTCAAAAATTTCTGGATTTTTTCCGTTTTTTCTTCGAAGCGGACATAAAAGAGATCAAAGTTGATCTGCTGCCAAATTGCAACACTTGTGATCTTTTTCGTTTCTTGTATTTCCTGTCTTTTCTATGATAATACTAATAATATACAGCATTTGATATAGCGCCCTATCTAGTTAGCATA